GTAGGAAAAAGTATAGTGTAAATAAAAGGGGGCCAAAGATCAGTTCCTGGAATTCTAAAGTAAATACAATTTCAAATATGCAAGTCATTTACACAGAAATTTATCATACTGACATGGGTAAGTGAAAATCACTTGCTTAAATATCATGAGCTCTTAGTGGGCAGTGCTTAAATGAAAATCTATTTTTCAGTTTATTCTAGAAAGTTTGTCAATTTCAGAATTTTTAGAAAGCTGCTGCTTTAAAAGTCACAGGAGCAAAAATACTCTTCTATCAAAAACATTTTCCTCATATGATCTTTGATTCCAAATGTAAGTTTCTGATTAAGATAGAGTGGAATATTTTATGCTCATGAAAATGTAAAATAACAGCAGAATTTTTGTTCAAAATATCTAAGTTGCAATTACTTATACAGTTAATTGAACTTATACTACTTATACACTTCATTGAACTTATATTACTTATATATTTCATTGAATAGCTTATCCTAACACGATTACTTGAGATTAAAACTGTGGGAATTTTACAAACAATTTATACCCACTGAAATATCAAGATTTTTGAACAATAAAGGCTTTAAGAAAAAACATATAAGGAAGACATTAACTTGAAAAGATCCTCTGTTATAGTTCTGGGCAATAATAGCATTGCATTCAGTACCACAACTTTACGAGTATATACTTGTGTGCTAAATAATTAAGACTAAATTTTATCATAGAAGTGTAATTTATACACTTTTCATGTCTTATCATTTTATTGTATATTATTTAAATCAGGGTCAATTAACTTTTTATATAAAGTGCCATAGAGTAAAGAATCTTATGTAAGTAGTTACATAGTAAGAGGGTAAACAATCTTAATAAAATTTAATTGATAAAATTCAAAATGTAATACTAATATTTGAGTAGAAATTTTTGTCACGTAGGTTTACTAATGAGTGTAGGAATAAAATTAGAATTTCATATAATTATTTTTTACCATGAAGAATTCTTCTTTTAATTTTTTTAGCTAAAAATGGAAGAACCGTTCTTAGCCCATGGGTCATACAAAAACAGTCAGCAGGTCAGATTCGGCCCATGGGCCATAGTTTACCAACCTGAGTTTAATATTGTATTATCTTACAATAGATGTTATACAATTCTATTAATCTATTTTCTTTAACAAAAATCAATTTGATCTTGATATACTCATTAGCTCCAATATAGAAATTGCTTATATATGATATAAATTCCAAAATTAATTTTAGAAGAAAATAATCTTTATTGCCTAGAGTAAGCACCAGGTAGTATGTGAAAGTTATGTTTGATCCTCATGTTGGCCATGAGTTACGTTATCTCCAGAGCTGGAGGCTGCCTTTATTCAGAGATTGTTGAGATGCATGTAATAAGAAGTGGAGAAAATGGACTGAATAGATGAAAATAAATCACCATCGCTATTAGAAAAGTGAGTCAAAGTACGTGCTGACCTTTATAAGGGCTAGCCATTTATGCATTGCCTCATAGAACTATATTTTATCAGTACTTTACTATTGCATTCTAGTTATTTTCTGCTATAGGAATAAATATGATGGGGAGGGGAGGAAAAGAAAGTAGCTTCTAGAAAGAATTACAAGGTTGAGTTTTAACAATGTGAGAATCTGTCCAGCTGTCTCCCAGGGCCCACAAGAGTGATCATCTACTCAGGTAATTTGCCTTCACCTATCCTTCAGTGCTTCTTTTAGGGTAGATAACAGATATGGCCTTTATTTCCATCAGAGAAAAGAAAGAACACAGTGAGATGTTAACTTCTAATTCAGTCATTGGTGAGCATTAATTATTCCCGAAAGTAGGGCTCAATATACCAGTGGCTAGAGAGTCCCCCTCATATGACCTGCAAGAGTAAAAGTAAAAGCAAACTCTCATCAGCCTTACTACTGCACCCATTCCTTCTTTTGGGGTAACTTGACCCCGTCTTCAACAATGTCTTGTTGAAAAACTGAATTTATAAGAGCAAATAAAAAATAGAGAAATGTCTCTGTTCTTAATGCATGTCTCTTAGTAGCAAGCAAAGAAACCAAGAACAGCCAGTGCAGTTTCTCAAAGAGCACGCCCTTCTACAAGGATCCATCTCTAAACTTTGATGAAAGGGACACTGCAATATAACTTTAAAAACTCAATGAGAAGAAAGAGAAAAAAAATGATGGCTCGTCCACTGCTTTTGAAATGTCAGACAGGATACTAGTAGGCAGAGAATGCGGTTCATTGAACATATTTCATCTTTAGACAGATAAGTACTTAACAGGCCACCGAAAATATGCAAGCACATCAGTCTAGTAGTTTACAGATATTTACATACACATACACCTATATACAAATGAGCACATATACATATATGTGAACATATGTTTGTCTTTGAACAGAATCCTTCTAATGTAAAGTTTCCCTGCTGTTTAATTGGATCAATTAACATTCAAATTAAGGTGCACCTAATCCCTGAGCTGTACTGGTTTTGCAGAGTTCTGTCCCATGAAAGCTTTCAAACTGGCAACCTTGGGCTGACTCTGTAGATGGCAGATTTGTTCCTGGCTCATCAGCTGTAAATAAAGGGGAAAAAGGTCTTTCTAGTCACTTGAGACAGACCTTTAATTTTATTTATTTATATTCAATTCTTTCTGATTCTACTATTGGTATTCAAGACTCGATTCACTTTTTCTTAATATAAAGTCTTGTCCAGAAGAATTATTGCAGTCATTATAATACTTTAGAAATGCATATGCTGGTTGATAGTTGCTTGTCCTTACACTAAATTCCAATCTTGCTGGGAATCATACAGGTACTTGTTCTTCCAAAAAGGATGAAACATAGGAAGTACTTTCCACCATGGCTTGGTACAAGTAGACCTTACTTCTTCCAAAAAGAAAATACTTCTTACATATTGAAAAATGAAATAGAAATTGAGAAATGAAATATTTTCTTTTACACATACTGCCGCAAATCATATTGTCAAAATATTCACAATAAATTACTAAATGGAACTTTAATTATAGAAGGTCATTTCATTTTATTTTTGACACTTGAAGAACAGTCAACTCCACATGTATGGTAACCAAGAACTCCAACTTTAAATGTTTTTTATAATGAAAAATTGTGTAGGTTTTGCAAGTTCATCAGATGTTTAAAAGAGCATTAGATTACTTCCTTAACAAACCAAGGCTGAAAGAATATAGAACCAGCACTGAAATTTTAAGTATCAGTGAGGGATCCAACCAGAGCCAAGCAGACATAAATATTACACTCTCATCAGATCTTTTTCAGCACCTTTTCTTTTCTAAGAAGATACATTGCAAAAGAAAGCTATTTAATGTTGATGTACATCCTACACTTTTTACTGAGCTTCAAGAAAACAAACAAACAAACAACAGCCTGATGAATTAGATTAATATATTTTAAACCCAGCTACAGACAGTCTAGTGGAAAGACTGAACTGAGTACAGGCCAGATTTAAGCTCTGCTTTTCTTGAGGGAAGGATGCTTGGGGTGATGTGCTTTACATTGTAAGAGTGACCTCTAGTGCTTTTCTTTTTGGTTGAACTTTAGTGGCTAGAAGATGAATTACTTATGCCTTTTCTACAGAACTTCCATCTGTGTGTGGGTGTTGTTGTTTGCTTGTATGTTGCAATGTTTGTCAAATGCTACCATTGTAAGATTCCAAGGTTTTGCCTAGGTGAAATTATACACATTTTATTGATTTATGAGATTATCACAACATTCAAACTAAAGTTGAATCTGATGTGCAGCACTTGGAGTGAATTTCCTTCCTTCAGAGTGATGGATACTCTGTGACATTAAATGAGCTCATTCTGAACTGAAACATGAAATCACAGGACCCAGGCACTCTGAGTGGACATTTGACTTGTGCCCATGAATTTGTCATGTTTTCCCCACATCAGAACTCTTTAGTGTAGTCAAGCGACGTGCCATAGAAATGCCTGATTACTGCTTCTTTTCCCCAAATCTAAGCCTGATGATACAGCAGCAACATAAATTCCCGGACAGGCCTCATAGCCATTTCTTGAAAAGCAAATGAGCTTTTCCTTTAAAATCCAAGAAAAAATATAAACTTGCATTTGCCAAGCTTGTTTGTCATTAATCAGGAGGGGAAAATTCTACCATTTAGAGAATTTAAGCCAAAGATAACTTTTAAAACTTTTTCCATCTCTAATAAAGAGTGGATGAAGGCAGTCTGCCAAATTATTCTGGATGATATCTAAATTATAAATAAGGTTTCAATCTTCCCTAAATAGGTTCTATTTCATCAGAACATTCCATTACAAATTTATGGAGTTAAGCATTCAACCACAAAGGGATCCTACTTTCGAAAGATCACCTGACTGGTTTTCCTTTAAGCAAAATGTAGGAAGAGGCTCCTCTTTCAGGAGAGCACTAAGTCTCATTCTCTTAGCAGCGAGGGCACGGCTTTTAATACTGAGATTCGCCTCTGCTAGTGCTGGTGCTCCTGAAGTCTGCAGTACATTTCAGTTATTAGCCTGCATCATTTTAAAGATGCAGCCAGCTACTGGTCTGCCCAATTGCAAACTTCAGAAATCTAAGCCAATGCAGCATAACGTAAGGTCTGCCGGTAGTTTTCCTGTTAGAGATAATTTCAATAAAATTCGGTAGTTCTTTAAAAAGGAAGAAATGAAGACATTCACAGGCTATTCCCCAGATAAGATGATAATTTCATGTTTTAGTAGAACTTGGGCATTCTCAATGAATATTCAAAGACCAGAGGGTAAGATTCTGCGAGTAGACAAAAAGAGAAATGACACTTTGCCTATTTTGACCAGACCAAGAGGAGAGACAAGTGTTAACCGGTCACATTGGCAAGATTTTCAAGTGATGCTTCGTTTACAGCAATACGCTGTGCAGCAATCCCAGCTGCAAATAATCATCATCAAAACAACAGAATCAAAGTTTTGCAGAGAGCCCCCCTGCAAGTTTTAAATCATTTGCTGTATACTTACAGGAATTCCCAGCTTCGACTCTGTTCCAATTTTGAGTAGATAACAGAAGTAGCGTCTTGAGGACAGCTCCCGTGACAGATCCCATGTTCGCATTTATTGGGCTCCCCCAAAAGATCTTGAGAGGCTCTCAGAGCGCTCCAGTCCTGTTCTCAGTAGCTCTCCCAGCTCCGTCTGGGTCTTCAGCCCCTCTAGGTCTCTGTCTCTCCCCCTCCCTTCCTCCTCACCTCCCTCCGTCTTTTCTCCTTCCCTCCTCCCTCTCGTCTCTCTCCCTCTCTCTCCCCGTCTCTCTCTCTTTTCTCTCTCTCTCTCTTTTCTCTGTCTCTCTCACACACACACCGCCCTGACTCCTCACTGAAAAGCACTCAGCATCTTTCCTAACAAGCAACCACACTGCCGAGGCCACGCCCACTCCTCGCAGCAGCGGTCCCCGAAATTGGCAGCAGCATCCTTCCTTCCAAACACACAACAGCGCTCGGAGCTCCGCTGCACCCAGAGGCGCGGCCTCCCGCTCCTGGGTCTCCTTGGGGCTCCCTCCCTTCTCCTCTATTTTCCAATAATCCTTAACCCTTTTCTCCCAACTGGAGGTGTGGGTGGGGGAAGGGACAAGGCGGTGGAGCCTTCTGATTTTCTGGAGGTCTTGCATTTGGCAGAGCCAGACAACATACTGAGCTATTCCTGATTATCCGGGAGTGCATCCAGGTAAAATTGCATTATGTTTCAAAACAAAAGCATAAAATAAGACAGAAATAACTAAGCAGCACTGTGAAATTGTAGCTAAAACTGTCCTCAGGGAAAATACTTGCTGTTGTTTTTCTCTGTTTCTATAAAACTGTACTCTTCAGCGAGGGTGCCAGGATTTTATTATGGAAATTCCCCACATGGGAACAGACATTCCTGCTTAGCAGATATTTAAAATCATCTGGTAGTAGTCTGCAAGAAATTAACATTTCTTATTTTAATGCTTCAGGTGTACAAATCCACAAATGAAATGCTTTGGCTAGATTTATTTTGATGAATGCATCATGCTGTGAATATGCAGTACTATTCTATAATCAACATTTTTAATAACATTTCCAAAAAGGCCCAAAGTAGGAAATGATGGACCACTGAAGAAAGGCACCCCCACCACTACCACATACACACACGCATACACATTCACACCAACACTGAACAATGTCACGATGTAATTCAAGTGGCTTAAAGGAGAGAGGAGTAAAGTCGAATTTGGAAGATCAATGACTAAAGAAAAATTACTCTTTGAATGGCTGGTCCATGGATATAACTATTGCTTGAATGGAATTTTAAATTGTCTAAATAATGGAGTTATTATCACATAACAAGAAGCATGTCACATGGTTCGTAGCAGATAAATAATCTATTTAAAATAAATGTCAAGATGTTTTACAGATAATGTGCTAGATTTTATAGAAATGGAAATCCTGGAGTTCTCAAGCGCCTCTTGGTAATCACAAATTGGAAGAAACATAAGCCTTTAACACCACTTTCTTATGGACTAATGAAAGTGTGGGAAAATGACAGAAATACCCGTAAAAACTAAACATACTTGTTTAGTTCATGCCTGCAAACAAAGCAGATGCATCTTTTTTCTTTTCCTGTTTTACAAGAGAAAGCAAGAACAGGAAATTTAAATGATTCAAAGAGGTCATAGAATTAGTAAATAAATGCTGAGGACTGGACTTGGCTTTTCTGACTCCAGTTTTACTGCTCTCACCCTAGGACTTACTGCCCCTAAATCAAAGTATACCTCCTTCCTGACCCTTGTCAGTGGCAGCAAAAACCTTAGATCCTAGACAAACACAGCAAACACTTTGGGAGGTCAAGGTGGGCAGATCACTTGAGGTCAGGAGTTCAAGACCAGCTTGACCAACATGGTGAGACCCCATCTCTACTAAAAATACAAAAATTAGCAGGGTGTGGTGGCAGGCACCTGTAATCCCAACTACTTGGGAGGCTGAGGCAGGATAATTTGCTTGAACCCAGGAGGCACAGGTTGCAGTGAACCAAGATTACACCACTGCACTCCAGCCTGGGCAACAGAGCGAGACTCTGTCTCAAAAATAAATAAATAAATAAATACAATAAAATAAAGGTCATGGCTTGAGTGTTTATTCTGTGTTCCTAGACTTGCATTCCTGATTTTTTCAATCATATGCTAAGTAAAAGCAGATATAAATTGACAGTTTATGTTAACTAATTATTGAAGGGGATTAAATTTTATTGAACACATACTATATGCCATTTGTTATCTAACTGAATAATTATATCAGTCCTTTGAAGAAAATATCATTATGTCTATGGGACAGTTTTGGGCTCTCCAGAAGAAAAAAGTTGTCTCCTTGTTAAAATATTATATTTAATTGTTCTCATAAAGCAAATTAGAGAACGCATTTTAAATGGATAAGTACACATATCAAAAATGAAAAGTAAACATTTTATAACAATAGTAACTTCTTTGGGGCAACGTATAAATTATTATAGTCACCAATACTGGCGGATTTTTCCATATCAATGGGTTACAGTAATAGAAGGAATTGGGGGCTGGCACTCAGTAGAAGACCTGAGCATTTCAAGTCACCGCAAAACCTGTCTCTGCCTGAGGACTGCAGAGGGGTAGAGAGTTGCATAGACAAGCGAAACAGTGAGTGCTTGAGATACGGTAAACAGAGAGGCCTCAGCCGGGTGCGGTGGCTCACACCTGTAATCCCAGCACTTTCGGAGGCCGAGGCGGGCGGATCACGAGGTCAGGAGATGGAGACCATCCTGGCTAACACGGTGAAACCCCGTCTCTACTAAAAGTACAAAAAATTAGTCGGGTCTGGTGGCGGGCGCCTGTAGTCCCAGCTACTCGGGAGGCTGAGGCAGGAGAATGGCTTGAACCCGGGAGGCGGAGCTTGTAGTCAGCAGAGATCGCGCCACTGCACTGCAGCCTGGTGACAGAGCAAGACTGTCTCAAAAAAAGCAAACAAACAAAACCAGAGAAGCCTCGACACAAATTCAGCTTCCACTGTTGTTTTGATTAAATGACTCAATGACGTTGACCTTTGGTTTGCTTATTTTATAACGAAATAGGAGAATCAAGACCAAAGAGTTATTGGGATATAACGCATGACAACTATTGAATGCCCTGTGCTTAGTGGGCCCTCACTTACTTCAGCTTTAGACGTCTGCATTAGAACTCTACAGAGAATTGGTCTAAGTAGGCAATGTCGGAGCTTGACCACGCAGGTTCAGCAACTGTACAGGTTCCACCACCCACCAGCTGCATGACCTTGGGCAAGCTGCATCAGCATAATAATCCTTGATCCTTAATTTCCTCATCTGTGCACCCAGGATGAGTACAGTATTAACCTCGTGGTTAAGACAATGTCCTGTAAAATGAGCGTGCCTAGGAGGCACATGATCAATGTTCCTTTTGTAATCATTACATTAGTACAATTCACACAGCACAGATAAGAAATCTGATGAGCAGAGGGATTACAGCTTACACTGGGATATGACCCACAGGTGGCAGAAAAGGGTTGGTCTCCAAGACCTACCAACTTGTGCATCATTTCTCCATTCCCACCAGGATGGTTTTTAACATCAGAAAATCGAAGGAAAAACAGAAAAGCGTGGAGACCTAATTTTGCACACCTGTACTGCTGATTCAGATTCCTTGAATCACTTTCCCTGCGTCTACATTTTGGTTATATTTTCACCAATTAAGAAAAGACCCTGGTGTTTAAGGTCTCCCATGTCCATACTATAGGTCACACCCTGCCTGACAAAAGCAATGTAAATCAGATCACAATGTTGAAATTCATAAAATCAGGCTTCGAATTATTTTCTTGTTACAACTTGCCAGAGAACTGCATGTCCCACCACAGTGGTCCATGGAGGATCCTAAACTATAGTTCAGGCTAGAAAAGGACCAGAAGGCAATAATGGAACTACATTACATTGAAAGACTAGAAAGAAATTAGCACACATTGTTTTGTTTCTTTTATTCATCTAACAGTTGTTTTACCCTACATTTCTATTATAGCGATCTTCTCATTTCAAATCTGGGTAATCATTTCATTTCTTTTACATGGTTTGATTTGTCTTTATATCTTCAAAATGAAACGGATACTTTTTAAACATTGTGCTTTTACTTTCATTTTCTATTGTAGTTAAAAAAACATTAAATTTACCATCATAATCATTTTTAAGTATAGTTCAGTAGTGATAAATATATTCACCTTGTTGTGCAACAAATCTCTACAACTGAAACTCTATACCCATTAAACATTAATTCCTTCTCTTCCCTCCCCTCCTGCAGTCATTGGCAACCACCTTTCTACTTAATGTTTCTGATTTTGACTACTTGAGATGCTTCATATGAGTGGAATTATACGGTATTTGTCATTTTGCGACTGACTTCACTTAGCACGGCGTCCTCAACGTTCATCCATATTGCAGGATGTGACAGGATTTCCCTCTTTTTAAGGTTGCATAGTATTCCATTGTATGTATATACTGTATTTTCTTTATTCATTCATCTGTCAGTGGACATTTGGAATTCTTCCACCTGTTGACTATAGGGAGTAATGCTACAAAGAACATGAGTGTGCAAGTATTCCGATAAGATAATGCTTTGAGTTATTTTAGATCTATATCTAGAAGTGGGATTGCTGGAACATATAATCATTTATTTTTAATTTTTGAAGAACCTTTATACTATTTTTTATAACAGTTGAATCATTTTACGTTTTTACCAATAGCGTACAGGGCTTTAATTTCTCTGTATCCTTATTCAAACTCATTTTCTATTATTTTGATAGTGGACACACCGATGGATATAAGATGATATCTCATTGAGGTTTTGATTCACATTTATTTTGATCAGTGATATTAAGCATCTTTTCACATGCTTCTTGTCCATTCTTATGTCTTCTTTTGAGAATTGTCTATTAAATTCTTTGTTCATCTTTAAATCAGGTTATTTGTTTTTGGTATTGTTGAATTGTAGAAGTTTCTTATGTATTCTAGGTATCAACCCCTTGTAAGATATATAACTTGCAAATATCTTTTTCTGTTTTACAGGTTGATTTTTCACCTTTTGTTTCCTTTTATGGACAGATGTTTCATGTAGTCCCACTTGTCTGTTTTTGTTTAGTTACCTGTGCTTTTGATGTCATATCCAATGAATCATTGCCAAATTCAATGTCGTTTATGCTTTCTTCCAGTGGTTTTATAGTTTTAGGTCTTATGTCTATGTCTTTATTGAGTTAATTTTTGTCTGTGAGGTAAGATAAAGCTCAAACTTCATTCTTTTGCATATGACTATCCACTTTTCCTACCTCATTTGTTGAAGAGACTGTCCTTTTCCTCCATTGTGTGGACTGGCACCCTTGTAGAAGATCACTTGGTAGTATACACCAGAGTTCATTTCTGGGATCTGCATTCTGTTCCATTGGTTTATATATCTGTTTTTATGCCAGTACCACAGTAAACTTGACTATTGCTGCTTCATCATATGTTTTGAAAGGA